CCCCAAAACCCCAAAACCCCAAAACCCCAAAACCCCGAACGAATAAAATCACATTGAAATAATAGTTTATACATCGTCTGGATGTCTTACAACAGGAGAGATACTTGTCCAGATATTTACACCTGTGAGGATAATGCCCATGAGGGCACCATAGATAGCCAATGCTAGAGCCAAGTATATTTTCCAGCGTTTCTTTACAACATTGTACCTTCTCATTATGACAAAGTAGAACAATCCTGGGAGGGTAAAGTTTAGTAATGCATTTGCAACAGATCCGATAAATTTCAGAACAATTTCTGCATCTGTTATAAAACTAGAAGCAGCAACAACTGCTCCGTAGGAGAGGAGAGTGACTGTGTAGTAAACCCATTTTGGGAGTTGATCAACTCCAACTGAGACATTTTGCTCGGCATCTTCATATGAAATAATAGATTCGCTCTTCTCTTCCTGATTATTCTCCTCGTACGTAGGAACTATTCCTGTATAGTTTGTTATTTTGGGCTGCTCTAGAGTTACATGATCGCTAGAGACTGATGATAAGGTTGACTCTCTATTGATTTGATAAGAAACCCTGCCTTCAGAGGAGTTATCATCAATGAGTGCTTCTTTGTGACCCTTTTTGTCTTTCTTCTTATTCTTCTTCTTCTTTTTCTTATCCTTTTTCTTTTGTTTTTGCTCTACGTAGGCTTGTTTGGTTTGCCTACCATAGTCTTCGTCATTTGCGATGTTCTTGATGATTTCCTTTTCAATATCTCCTTTGACAACTAAGAGGGCAATTATTGCCAATAGAGAATCTTTACCGACAAAGAAGATGAATGGCAAATGAGTGGCCATCAGGATCATGAAGACTCCTCTGAGCACATAGGACTCCCATGCCTCTATCTCTTCAACATTCTCAAGAACATCTCCGTGGACGTTGATGCCAAATGTGTAGAGAGAAACGAACATCACCATCATGTAGATTATGAATCAGAAACCAATACCCAAGAAAGTAAACTTCATTCCTCTTCTATATGTTCTTTTTACCAAGCCATTGTAGATTGGAAAGAATGCTGACTGGAATCCGAATGCTACGAATGCAGTCGAAAGAGAAGATATAAAGGCCTTGTCGAACCTGAACCTGTAGAAAGCCCTCTGCTCGACTGGAAATGGGTTATTTATGTTGCCAGAGTTAAACACTCTAAGTGCAATCATCAAAGTAATAAATAGTAATACTGAGATAAAGAGAAAAACTCCTGCAATTTTCAGCTCAGCAATCTTCCTCTTGATTATCAAAGGGAGCAGGACTATGGCAAGGAGCAACACGCTCAGCCATTGGCTACCGATAGTATTCCTAGCGTTCTCCCTGACCCAATTGATTTCCATGAATAATGATCTCAGAAGATTCCCGAAGATGATAAAGTATGAAATAGGAAGGAACAGAAAGCCAATCACTTGAAGGAAGTTCACAAAGTATAAGGAGAACCTCCCCCATACTTCAAATCCTATTTTTGGTATGGAGTAGAATCCTGTTACTTGTGCTCACCTTAAGTATCAATGGATAGAATAGACACATAGTATGAAGTTGAATATAAAGTATGCAATTGTCCATGGAATTCCTGAGTTATAAGCAGCATTAGGTACAGCTACCATCCCTGCACCTATTGTAACACTGACTACTGAAAGCATCGCAAAGAACAGGTTTGTCCTTGGCTCATTCTCTCCTTCTTGGACATCTTGTGTTTCTCCAATCCCGTACTCGTTTTCTGTCATTATTAAAATTATGGAAAAGAAATTAAATTATACTATTATCAATTATTCTTCCCAAGAACGGGGTTTTGGGGTTTTGGGGTTTTGGGGTTTTGGGGTTTTGGGGTTTTGGGGTTTTGGGG